ATTTTCCTTTTGAAACCTTAAGGGGAGTTGGAAACCTCTATACCAGGGGTGCTTAACCTTTTTTTCTGCTTGGCCGCATACATATGTCAGCTAATTCACGCAGGTCGCATACGTATGTTAGTTATTTCATGCGGGTCGCTACATGAGGATAAATGGTGAAGGGAGGGGGGAGAAATGCCAAGATAACATCGGTAATTTAAAGTGTGGAAAATTGATCAAAATATTATAACTTCTGTTTTGCTTTTTTTAAAATTATTTTTTATTTTTGTTACTAACAGTAAATTAGAAACATTTAAGAAACACTCCTTCACAATTTTTGCATCTCAGTAAACGGTTTCATATGATTACCAATAACATAACAAACTTTATAGGATGTCTTTGTTACCGCTGTGACATTGCCCCTGACAAAACACTTTGTTGCTATTGCAAAAGCTATTCAAGAAAGCCTACTTATCACCTTTTGAAAAAGATCTTCGAAGAAAAATGTCATTGAATGATTCTTGTCTATTGGTATTTTTTAAATACTGCACTTTCAGAACAAATTAAACAATTATTGATCCATGTTTGTGTTTCAGTACAAAATAGTCAACCTCCCAATCGTCTTGAAACCATATATTTTCTTCAATTTTTTTTCGCTTGAAAAATGAAAGATATTTAAAATTTTTAAATATAAAATTTTCGCTCTCCCTGTTTTTTCGCAAAACCGTAACTTTCCAAAAGAAAAAAAAATATTAATTGTCCCCTAAAGACATGACGTCAAAAGCAAAATTGATTTATTTGATTTCTTGACAAAGAAATTCCCACCAAATTTTTAATTCAATTTTCTTAAAATAATCAAATTTCTCAGAGAAATGGGCCATGATAGGGTCACTTAAAAAGGCTTGTTGGGCCGCAGGATGAGTATCGCTGCTCTATACCGACAATGTTAAATTTGGGGTTTTGGGCCTTTTCCAAAACGTTTTTTTGCGAAATTTTTCATGCAATTAAAACCTATAATTCGCCTTATACGGAAGTGAGCTTTTAGCTAATTTTGAATTTTTCCATAATTTATAAAATATTTTATCAAACATTGTGAAATTTGACCCATTTTTCCCATAAAAAAATTTGTAAAAAATAAATTTTTTTGATTTTTTTTACAAAAAGTTTTTTTCGGTATATATTAGCCATCATTATAAATAATTCATAAAAAATTTACCTAACTGTGAATAGTAGTGTCTCAAAAAAGGTACATCGAACATAAAAAATTTACATTTTGAGATAAATTGATTTTAATGCATACAGTGAGGCTTCTAATCGTTTAGGAAATAAAAAAAAGAGTAAAAGCCTCAATTTGCAATAAAAGATTAATGTTTTGGTTTATATCTGACTTTCAACATTTAAGCAAAAACGAAGTACTTTGTTTACATTTTCCCATTAAAAAGGACGAGGCCTAATTTCTTTTTTTTAAAATAGGTTTTAATTTAATTACCCTAGGGGGGAAAAAGTAAGGTATTTTTAGAAAGTTTAAAATCTATACAATTTGAAAATGTAAAAATCTAAAATTGACAAATAAATCAGATTTTAGTTTTCCAACATCCCAACTACTGTTTCTCAATCATTGTGCCTGGCCTGTTGTTTTTCTTAAGGTTTGGCCAAACTTTTTAAAAATTATTAATTACACTCTGAAAAAAAAAAACCCCCAAAACGAATCTTTGGAGTTTTAAAAAGAAACTAAGGGTACTCGTGGTATATTCAACTAATCCTTTCGTGGATAGATGGATATAAAAATTTCATTGGGTTTGTAATCCATTTGTGATACAGATGCATCTGTACATGAATTATTTTTAAAGGAAGAGAGGAAAAACTAATTTCGCTCTGTGGTAATCGAGATTTAATTTTTTCAAAACATTTGAAAGAGTCAATTAATTTATTTTGGATTAAAACTGGATTTTCTGATAGTAAAAAAAACAAATATACAACACAATTTTTAAAATTTTACAATTTTTTCTTTTTTTTGAATTGAATTTTCAGCATTAAACAAATATAAAAATGAAAAAAAAAAAAAAAAAAAAAAGAGAAACTTTTAAATGGAGATGAGAAATGAGAGTGGCATTATCATTTCTACCACCAAATATGAACAGAATTTTCAAAATTATCAAGCCAAATTTCCGGGTTTAAAAGTATTCCCAATGATTAAATTAATTACTTTATAAACGTTTTATATTATTTTATTTGATATTGAAAATTACTGCCGTGAATATATATATAATTTTATATAGTGTATTATAGATGAAGTGTGCCGCCAAGTTTTGTGAAATCATTTAAAGTGTACCGCAACAATCATTGCTTTAAGTCAACTAAAAATATTATTTTTCAGCATCTTTTCCTTTAAATTGTCCGGCATTTCATAATTTTTCAGCGCCTCATACTACCTTTAACTATTTTGCTGACTTAGTTTTTAGATTACACTTACTCATTTGTAAATGTGAAATGAAAGACAAATATCAAACATTTAAGGCCTATCCGTGCTCTATTTAAAACAAAGCGCTTACCCATGTAGTATCGCGATTATAAGGAGAAAAAAAATTGTTGTTAATTGCGGAACCTATAACTATGCGGAAAAGATTTTGTATGGAGATTAGAAGCAAAATAGTTTTTTAAAAAAAAATTTTAAATTTAAAATCTCGACAGAGTAATTATTTTTTTGAACTTTGATACTTAAGAAATTGTTAAATGTATGTGTGATGTTTTTTTTCTTGTAACTATTTAGTATGTTTCCTCTCATCGCAATATATGTTAAAAAGTAATGAAATACCTGTTTTTCTTTAAGGCTGTCTTCAGCAAAAGTGCGAGAGCCTGAACTAAACGCGCAGAGTATTTTCAGACAAAAAAATGCCTCAATTTTCATGAAAATTTGCCACATTATAACTCATTCATCTACGAACAATATGGTGTTTATAAAATTTTTTCCGTGAATATTATTTTTTTTTTCATTTTAACGCGTGAAGGGATAGCTCATTTAACACTACTGTCTAGGAGAAAAAACGCGAAACGCATTTTATGTCAGAAAAACTGGCTCAACTAGGTCAAAAATGTAAAGTACAATAGCATATGTTGCTCTATAAGGGAAGTGAAGCCAGAAGATAATATTAATTTTTCATTTCTTTTATATCTGAAAAAAAAAATAACCTAATTCCCCATTCTTTAACATTAACCTAAGACAGCCTTAATAAAATTTAATTCACTATTTTACCATAAAAACTTAAATACATAAACTTCATTTCCCTTGTGACAGTGCATAACACAAAAATTAATTTTTTGTATTGTTTTTCTCTTCTTCTATACACCGGAGAACATCTTTTCCGCATAGGTAGGTTTGGAAACTCTGAAATTTTTTTGTCAATCTACTCTAGTGTACGCATTTAGCGGAGGAAGGCAAACATACCCTCTTCTAATTTATGTAAGTTGATTAATTACCCGTGTAAAAAACTTAGCAACTTCTAACTTTTCATAGCATTTATTTGATTCTTAAAAGTAAAAACAAAGAGTAATTTAGCATATACAGCCCTTTTTTGCAGAAATGTTTTTTTAAAAACATGTTAATGATTAAAATACAAAAAATGATGGGCTTAAGAAAACGTGCAGATTAGATCGCCGATAAAACTACAAGAACTTAGTCGTTTATTAAATTTAAGTTTGATGACTACGTTGAAAGAATTCGTACTTTTTTGTACCTCTAGATGATTGTATCATTTTCTGAACAATCCCTGATTAATTATATACTAAGAGGATAATGCATTACAGAAATATAAAAAAATTGAGGTAATCGGGGGATTTTTCATTTCTCACACATGTTTTTAGTATATGTTTAAGCATTCATCTTAAGTCAGAAATAAGTTTGCTAATGTATGCTTTGTTCGACAAGTTTTGCAAGGTCTCTGAATTATTATTTTTCTTCTACGGCAAAAAATACAAAGTAACACGCTTAAAATTACAGCTTAGGAAGAAGATAATTTATTTCAGAGAGTGGATTACACTCAAAATGAAATTGATGATAAGATATCTTAAAATTCTTTTATTTGAGATATAAAGATGTTGAAGGACCATGCAAATATAACCATAATACTCAAGAAAGGGAATACATTTTGATCAACAAAAGTTAATTATGTTCTTACAAGAAAGTATAACTGTTTTATATTAATTGTTTTATAACTCAGTGGAGTCATGTTTTAGATATTAAATATAAATTTAAATTATGGGAAATAAGACTAATCTAAATTTCTCATGTGTTTATTATAATTTTTTGCAGTGCTTCATTTTTGAGGGAAAATAATTTATAGCATTTATTTAGTTATCAACTGATATAACTGAAAAAAAAGAGAAATCACAAACACATTCAAAATGATACATATAAACATAGTTACATTTTCTGAAACATAAAAACTTTTCTTGAAGTATTTTGTTATTTAAAATATTTTTAAGAAATACTAGGATCCATAAAAATTATTATATAAATATTCTCTTTAATACAATGATGAATAATTTACAATACGAATTTATTGATAGAGTTAGACATAAGTGGTTTTAAGGTATACCTAAAACAAAACATTCTTTCAAATTACGATATTTATGTCTTAATTCCTTACGTATAAATTTTCCAATTTTTATTCTCAGTCAAAGGATTTTTTTTTTCAAAATGCCAAAAAAGAATCATCGAAAAATATAATTTTAAAGCTTTCATGCACAAAGTTCCATTGATCGAGCATTACAATATTAATGTTCTTCAAGAATAAGTAATATATATAAAAAAAATAAAGTCAATTTCTACTTAAGGTCAACAAAGAAAAATTTTATTTTAGTTACTTTTTATTAAATAATCACAAATAATATAAATATGTAAATACATAATAATATAATCTTAATATTAAGTGACAAAATAGAAAGCGATTTTCCCTTTCTATATATGGTATTGGACTTAATTATTTTTGTTTGTCGTTATTTATTCATTCACAGAAATTAGGACTCCCAGGTAGGATTCGAACACACGACCTTTGAATTAGATGTCCAAAGCGCTATCCATTGTGCAACAGGGATACAACGAGCAATTTTCCTTTTTACATATGATATTGCACTATTATTTTGTTTTGTTATATTAAATATAGTTAAGGAATTAATATTTGAAAAACTGTATTAACATCGTCAACCACTACAAGTTTAAAAAACTATACTAGAGTGGATGAATAAAAGTATTTTTTTTAACAATTGAAAATTTGATCAAGATACATATAAATAAATATATATATAGGGAGAATTATAAACTAATAATAGAGAGGAATTGAAAAAAAAATATGACTCTTGTGTAGTGCTTATATTTAAACTACTTTTTTTTCTTTTTACTACGTATATTAATATAACTTTTCTAAAATGAATTACTCTGTAACTAATTCTTAAGGCTGTATTTTATTATTTGTAATGTGTAGAAAGCACTATGTAGAAAAGGAAATATGCTGTTGGTATTGAGTAATCAAGAACGTGATTTATTTCTACATGACCATGCTTAAATTTACAGGATTCCTATTTGAAATAAACCAAATTTATTCGAATTTAATTAAGAAAGAATAATCTCAATAGTTAAAAAGGGTTACATAGATTTTTATTGCTATTGAAATATGCATTACTAGGGCCAAAACGAAAGACATTCGAATCCTCACGTGAAAAAATATAATTCGTTTTCTCTGTATTATCTATATATCTAAAAAATGGATGCTTGTATATATGACATCACTTCACTTCAACACACCGTTCAACTTATCACTTTGAAAATTGGCATGTGTATGTATTTTTATGGAGAAGGTTTTTGGGCTATTTTCTTTGTTGAAGCTCTCCACCAGGTGGAGCTACAGCATATCTACTTCTGCACCTGTCAATCAACCACCAAGTTGCCTACATGGTCGCCAAATTGATGCCAACTTGGCTGTATTGCCAACATTTCGTTGCATTTCCATTGAATCGCCATTATAACGTAAGGAACGGCGTTGCTTGCGAATATTATAATTTTAACATAAGATAAATGCTACAGAAAGTAATATTAACGTATTAAACATCCAGATATAAATTATTTACACTATTTTAAGCGTTCATTTGACAATATTTTAGCATTTACCTTTGTAACAGAGATCAGCTTAAGAAGGTGTTTTCAAAATTTGACCCACAACGGGGTGTTATAAGTAAAAAAAAATTCTTATCATCTATTAGACCTACAGACTTTAAATTTAGCTAATATATTTTTTTTGTTCAGCTGAGATATGCATAAAGTCTTTTTTGTTGTTGTTTAATTTTCCATTCACGTAAAATTAACTCATTAAAAACTTATTTATCTTTCAATATGTATTGTGTTTAATTTTCAATTCACTCATGCAAAGAACGGCTATACCTGCTAGTATATAATATATAAAAATGAATAGTTACTTCTTGACATTCAACTTTTTGCCATATATAATTGACATTACTTTCTTTTTTCATATGTATTAATCACAGTAATGTAAAGTATGTTACACAATTATCTCTAGAATATGTATCTTCTTAAAATAATTTTGGTAATGAATAGCAATAAAAAAAGGCCAAAGTAGTTACTGGCTCCCACAAATTAATTAGGCGCATTTAATTGAATCCATTGTTTTATTTTGCTCTAGGACTTTTGCTTTACTTTGCTTTTAGTTTAATTTGCTTTTTTTCTTATCCAAACCTTTAGTAAGAAGCAAACTTTTTAATCTATTTTGTTTTTCAATTACCTGATAATTTTTTTTACTTATATCTTAATAGAAAATTAACTATTGAATCACTTACTTCACTTTTTTTAGTTCATGAAGGCTCATTTTTTTACTTTCTAATTTGGTATATAAAGAAACGTGGTTTAGAAAATACTATAGAAATTGCACCATTTGATGTGAAGAGTTTTATAATTAAAGTAATAGAGTTCTTTTTGTTAATTAACCAACAAAAGCTAAATTAGCAGAGCAAAATGCATATAAAAACTATCGTTACTTTATATCCTTTAAATGATTTATAAGTACCTTTTCGTGTATTTATTTAAACATTGTTTTCAAAAAATTTAGGAATGAATTATTTTTCTTTACTTCGCTCGATATTTTGACTTCAATTGTAACATTGATTTTGATTTGAATAAAAACATTTTTTTTTAAAAAAATAATTCATATTTTGAACAAGATTATAAAAAATAATAATAGATGAAAAGTAAATTCTTTTACATATATCTGTATAAGGTATAACAAATATCTCAAACTTAATCTAGATCGAACTACATTATCAATTTATCATTCACTTTTATTAAAGAAAAAAGAACTACAATGAAAAAATAATATAGACGCATCATTCAAAATGAAATAATTTTATACTTTAAATATTTATGATTTTTTTAAAAGATAAATATATAAAACGATCACCAAATTAAAAGCGGACAACAAAATTAATGACTATTGGAAATCAAAAGAAATTGCTCTGGGAGTTGTAACTCAGGTCCAATAATTTCGAACGTGGTTGTTTCTTAAAGAAGTCCTGCCCAGATTCCTTCACTTCATCTTCCAAATAGAGACGTAATACTCTCTTAAGTAGCCTAAAGGCCTAGAAGTCACAGGATGACAAATACGGACTGTATGGTGGGTGTTCTAACGTTTCCTGACGGATATTTTAAAGTTGCTTTGGTTTCACTGTCATGGTGATCCAAAATCGTTTGCTGCCCTTCCGAAAACGTTTACACGAACTGTTCCAAGACGTCCAACCTTCACTGTGTCACAACCTTCACAGGCAACTATTCGTCCATAGATGACCGCATTAAGTTCACCTCCTGCACATTTACCTATCTGCATGACTTTACTTTTGATTAATTTCCTTTACCACTAACAGATTTTGCTGTTAAATGTCTTATGCGGTGTACACTTCTTACCATCCTTCGTATCCCTGTCTGGTGGCTCTGTTATAGCTGCAATCATTCTGGCGTAATCGCATATGTTTACTTCTCATTTGAACAAACCTTATAAATATAAAGGGCATATAAAAAGATTTATCACATTTTCTGAAAAGTACTTTTTTCAATAAATGAGAACAAAACGAAGTTTTATTTGAATATTCATTTAAAAAAAATACTTCAATAGTTTCATTTGACTAAAAAGGAAATTACAGTCGAACCTCTATATTACCAACCTCTATATTGCGAATTTCTTCCTTGAACCACGAACATATTACGATTTTCTTCGTAAAATAACCTCCCAATAGCGAAGTGCAATTTCTGTATAACGAACCTTTTCACTTGTGATTCAATTTTTTCTTTCTCTATTTTTGAAGTATTTCTGGACATTTCAAATTATTTTCTCTTTTACCACATTTTCTGATGGTTGTAAATCTTCAACTAGTTTTATTAGATGCCTAACTCCTCGAAAGCAGTAGAATTCTAGGTGTTTCATCCAAGAAGTGCAACCTTTAACCCCCATTGTCCATTTCAGTAGAAACATCCCCTTGCACCCTCAGCGAAGCTGTATTGTGTCCTTGAGTAATGTTCATTGATCAGTCGTACTGGTATCTTCGTTTCTTGTGGCTCGAAAACGTTAAAACATAAGTGCTTGAGCATATCAAAGATACAGGTTTAATTATTCAGGAAATATATAAAGGCATCAAGAAACTTTCCTTGCAATTTCTCTTTCTTTTCTTTTTTTGATAAGTAAGATATATAAAATAAATATACATTAATTTTCAAAAAGGTGTGAGTAATTACTTTTTTTTAATATACAGTCTTTATGAGTTTAAAATTTGTTTTGTGTTCTTTATAAATAAAATTGAAAGATGAACCTCTATACCGCGAATTTTCCATGTAACGAGCTTTTTTCGGGATTTAGCGAATTCGTTAAACAGGGGTCCGACTGTACTTATATATAAATTTTTCGAGTTTATCTTTTTAAAAAAAATTTATGTTATATAATTATATAAATTTAAATAAAGCATTTATAATTAAATTTTTATGTTCAAATGGGAAAAGCATAGTTGGTTAATTTATTACAAATTCATTTTGATAAAATGAAATATAAAACATTAGTATTATTGTTGAACTAAGACAAAAGGATAGTTAATGAAAAAAAAAATATTTATATCTTTCTCATTCTTTTTTCAAACCCAATTTTATAAATTAGGCATAACGATTAAATTAGCTTCTTCTTATTTTCTTATTTCATTTGATGGTTATCTTCTAATTTTTTTAAGGTATCCGAATACGTTCGGAACCTTGATTTTAAAAAAAGAGCATAAATGGATAATTTGAATGATATTTAGTGTCACTTAGAATACATGTATAAAATTGTTTTAAGGACATTATGACAAAAAAATTATTTAAATACAATATTTTGGCAAAAAATGAACTTAGAATAATCTTTCTTCACAAAACGTTCTTCTTTTATAAAAAATGCTTCTAAAATAATAATATTTGTGTGTGTGTGCTTATATAAAGTAAAGACTTCTCCAGAGAGTCTGAACTAGGATTTTTGAAAAAGTCTCATTATTTTCAGAGTTACTACCAATTGAAATAACTATCGGCTTTTTTTCTTAAAATTTCTCCTCTCTGTGGTAGTAAAATATGGATAAATCCACTTCTATGTCATATATTTCAAAATTTCTAGTTGAGCCTCTGTACAGAGGTCTGAGCTATATACAGGCAAAACATTATTATAATAGAAGCATTTTTCATAAAAGGAGAATGTTTGGAAAATTGGTCATTCTTTGTTCATTTTTTGTCAAAATATTGTATTTAAATCATTTTTTATTCTAATAATATTCTTAAAACAATTTTATCTACGCTTTCTAATCTAAGTGACACTAAATATCATAAATATTATCCATTTATACGCTTTTGCCAAATCACGGTTCCGAACGTAGTCGGATACCTTAAAGAACTTTCATGATTTATATGGAATTATAAAAGACTACTTTAGAATTTTTCTTGTAGCCGTGGTATTCGAATTGTCGTAGTATCGAATTCAGGACCGATGTCGTTGGAGCGCGGGTTTGAATCTTGGAGTCACTGAAAATCC